AACATGTTGGAGGCGCTAGGACGGAGTTTGCTATTTTGAACTATCTTCTTTCTCGTTTTCTATGCGCGAAAAAAAAATTCGGAAGGCATATTTTTTCCTTTCCATTATTCCTTCAAACACTGGGTGATAAGTGGGGCAGCGGGCGATGGAGAAAGAGAGTAAAAATGTTGAAATGGATAAAATGCGCTAGAAGAAAACCATGACTGGAAAAAGTTCCATTTTTAATCACAGTTGACTCTCTTGAGTCTTGAGGAAAAGCATTTTCCATACTGTTAAATGAATCATTCTATTGAGTCAAAAAATTCGGTTAAGTCATTGACATTGGCTTCTTTGAGTCTTTGGCTCTCATTATACCAAACTGATACTTTCTGGATTGAAACTTGCTGGTAGTTACGATTTCCGTGCTGCTCAATCTCATACCATAATATCTCATTTATAACGTACAACTACGTAGGTTTCTGTTATATGGTGAATACAATTACCTACAAAACATGAAAATCTTATTATGTATGATTATAATTGGGACGCCAAAAATGCACTATATGACATGCATTTATAGTATGGTTGCTTATTAAAGCGGCAGAAAATGAAAGTTACGCGTACATACTTGAAATCTAACTATGAAAGTAAAGGTTCTTTTTACGACTTGCGTACTCTATGACACACTATGACTCTGGTTATGCTTTGATTCCATCGGTAATTTTCTCCACGTTTTTTTTATACATCAGAAGGCTTTCCTATTAATCTTGATTTTCCTCTGCTTTCAAAAAATCGGATTCTATTGATTATTGTGGTTATCAAGAACTTATTGATTAATTTCATCAACTTATGAAGTTCACTTTCTGTGTTATCATTTCGTTTTTTCGTAGAGGACTCAAACAATTGCTATTGCACTGTCTTTCATGCATCGTTGTTCATTGTTTTCCAAGCAATAGCCCACATTTAACCCACACTGCTATTCCATTCACGATTTTTCGTAACTTTGCCAAAGTATTGTTGAAGAGAACAACGTCATCAACGTGATTGCTCAGTGAGTAGTGTTTTTACAAAGACGTTCAGAATTTTATGCTCAACTTGGGAGGGTCTATGTGAAAATAATGGCGGTTGCTAATTTTAGAGATATTGAACTCTTGATTGATATGCATCAGAGTGAAATCACTAAATTTCCAATCCCCATCCTCATACCATTGACATATTAAAACACATTGTCTCAGGTAATCCCGGTAATCTTTCACAACCCAAGTACATTGTAGGTTGAGGGAGTAGTAATGCAAGGCTAAGCCGGGCTTCAATGATCAATTAATGCGCTTCTACGAATTGCTCACCTACCAAGGAAAGTGCTAACTAACGAGGAGTGCCTTTTTAGTCAGCGTGTACTGCAGTGCCCCTATGCAAGTGATTTATTAACATAGTCAGTGGATTCCTAATAAAAGCGTTTTGCAGATAAGGTTGCAATTTTTAGATCAACATTCATCAGTGAATACAGCAACATATCGTGCATCCCCAAAGTCGTTCTCATATAAATCATCGACGTAACTGCCTTTCGAACTTTTTAACACGTTAACTTTAGCAAAATTAAGACGCTTATTCGTTGACGTGTTAGAATTATCAAAAGACAGTCACGTTGGTGGTTCATATGCGAACAATTCTATAGAATGCACTCTATCTATTGGGTCGTTTCATAAATTCATAGCGTTTTCATAGACCAACAAAATCATTGATTTTCACTTAAAATCAGTCACTAATGTATTCTTCGACGTAGCGCACAACCGTTTGCTACATTCCTTCTGCTTTTCAACCTCAAATTTCCAAAAGGCAGCGCGCCGGTTCTCAAGAAACTCATCTAACCAGCATTCAACTTACTCACTAAAGTCGAAGCATGCACCATTTATGAGATTTGCGAGAGACCAAAGTAAATGATAATCTGATAGAGTAAAAGTACCTCCTAGTCAATTCTTGCAGAACGATTTTGATGACGTTTGCCGTATGAGGTCATGTTTCGTCATGCAGAAAAACTTACTGAATCTGTATTTTTGGCTTTTTCTGCGCTATGACCTCGTTGAGACGTTGCAGTTGGCTTGCATACGGTATGATCGACCGTCTTCTTCTTGTCCAGCAATTTTCAGTGCAGGACGTTCTGCCCATCCCAGTCTTGTTCAGGGACACCCTGCTTAACTCTTCGCCTTTTGTAGCAATCCAAACCTTTTTCTTCTCATATTGATTGGCGAACGCCATGTTCCATAAACGGCAAGAATCTGTGGAAAACGTTTCTTTTCATAAGAAAAATGCACAAATGAAATTACTCTTTTTTGCCTTTTAAAATTTCCATCCTTGGACGTCTAGAGACCCGAGTAGGTCAGCTTTTCATTCGAATCAGTAGGTACATATTGAAGAGCATAATTAGCTTTTTCTTACGATATACGCATCTTCTACATATCAACCGCTCCTTAAAGAAGTGAGGATGAAAATGAAAACGCTACGAACTTATGAAACGACCTTATATTAGGGTGTTGCAAAAATAATGTCCTATTTGCAGAATTTTACTTTGAAAAGCTATAAGTTCGTTCAGTCTTCATATTTTTGATTGCAATCAAGACCGTCAGATGCAGTAAACCTTTCGTAATCTAAAGCGCACCTGCATATACTGATATCGCAAACGGGAAGAAAACCATGCGTCAGAAAACCAAAAGTTTTTCTTTTGAAAACCTCGTTTTTGAAAGATTACAAATTCCTTCAAGTTTTGTTGTTATGGCTGCTAATCAGCTCATTTGTAGACGCAACCCAGTAGTATACGCTTGTATAAAAAGAACTTTAGCGAAGAAGTTCTGCGAAGTAAAAAAGATAAAAATCCAAAATTGTTCACTTTTTTAGCCTATTTGTGATAGGCTTAGAAGTCCCAAACTATAAAACTTGGAATTCTTCATGCACTGAATAGCTAAGTTTTTCTGCATAAATTGTAGATAAGATGTCTTGACTTCAAGCCTACAGAAATGAGCGAAGTATCAGCGATTGCCCTAATTAGGAAAAATTTCGAAACCATAAAGTTCCAGGCAGCGAATATCTTTTTTGAAGCTCGATTTCTCAGTTCAGGTATATTCGAAAAACTTATTTAAACATGCAACAAATGAACAATAATTATTCTATACAGTAGCTGTGTTTTCAGAAGAATTTGTTCATTTGCGCCTGCATTGTGGCCAAGAAAGTTGGAGCAATGAAATTTCGATTTTGAGTGCGGATTTGCAAAATGCTGGTGAAAATCTCAAAGATAAGATAAAAGCTTAACTTCACCACCGTTAGAAAGTACATGAAGAAAGCTTTCCAATGATGTGCAGAATCTATACCGAAAGAGAAAGTCTGAAGGAGAAAAGTTGTTTGGAATATACGCCTAGAAAAACGGACATTATTTTTGCAACAACCAATACATCTAATCTTTAATGGCCACTTCGACAATGAGACACTCTTTGTAACATAAAAGTTATTGATTTCAAAATACCTGCCGAACATAAATGGTCAAATACATGCTTCAGCAAGAAAATGCTCTTGTTTCTGTCCATGACCCCGATTACGTACAGTTCAAATTATTTTTTTACCTGATACTTCATGAGTAATTATAAAGATATTCGGTGTTGAAAATGATGTCTCGTTGCTTTTCTTTCTATGTATTGGTGTATCTACTATTCTGAGATTATAGCTTGGTGTGTAAATACTATTTTATCTTTTGGTATAAATAAATATTTAGTTGCTGATTAGTGAAAAAAAATTCATTCCATTGATACTTTCGAATTTTTCTGTATGTTTTGTCTCTTGCAACGAAGTTCTGATTTATTTGAAAGGCGCGAAGAAATTTCCTCGAAATTATCTTGTATTAATTATCTTATTATCTTGATTTATGTTTAGACATCCTGAGCTCACTCTTGTAGGTATAACTTACCTTCAATTTTAGATTATTTCTATACCAAGAATTTAGATAAGAGTTTGACCGAGCTATAGAAGATTTCTGATGCCAGCTTGATATATGTGCGCATATGGAAGCTATTCTGAGGTTGTTGTCATCTTCAGAGTCATGGATTGAACGCATTTTTGGCCTTTGCTGAAGCGGAAATGATAATATCTATGGTTCAAACATGCATAATTCATAAGCATCCTGAGAACCTCCAGACTTGTTAGAAATCATACTTGTGCGTTTTTGTTGTGGAGCGGAATACCTTACTTAGAGTAAATCAAGATTCTAAAATGTTGAAGTATATAAAGAAGACTTGAAGAAAAGTTCTAATTGGTAACATAGAATTTTCGGAAATTTTCCTTCATTGCAAACTCTTTACCAACGTTGTTATCATGGAAGTTTAGGTAATATTTGGACCATACTTTGCCTTGTATGGTACATTGCTGCTCACTAAATTATTTGAATTCCCACTATTTCTGCCCGCAATGATTTTGGCGGTGTCCATACCCCAGAAATGAAGATTTTGACTTATGCAGATCAGCAGTTTTATATGAGCAGAACCCTCGCCGCGTTTTTGGGCAATATAAAGCGGCTGGCGTTGAGAAAAGACGGAAATTTTGAAAAAGAAACTTATACTAGGAAAACCTGTTCTATCTAATCTATGAATTTTGAGATATGACGCATTAATTCGCAAATCACAGAAGTTTACATATAAAGTTTTTGCATAGTAAGGTACCACCTCGTTGAAAATTACTATGATGCACAGGATTTCAGTTGCCTCATTGCGATAAATCCACATTTCTTCAGTCTACTAATCAATATTTCAAAACAATTCATTCAAAGCTTTGACTATTGTTTTTCCCCTGTTTTTCCTCTGTCATTATTTTCAGCGGCAAAAGTAGTATAAGTACTGAAAGGCACAAGCATAAGGTTTGTGTTTCGTATCCATCATAATATGTTTCAAACTATCAGTTATTTCAATATTTTTGATTAGGTAACATTTCAAATGAGAGTTTATTCTTTGTCCGGTCAAAACGTTAAAAATCACATTTTTCAGAGCCCCTCACTCACCGAGATATTGTCAAGATGTTAGCACGAATAAGAACGAACTATCCTAAGCTATGGAAAGGGTACCAAGTAGCACTTACAAAGTAAGTTCTAATTTTACTTGAATTGGTTTACAATTTTTGTGAGGGGCGTTCGTTACATGTTGTTCGCAATAAGAATTTGAAAGAACGCGGCGTTACAGTAATCCGTAGAGGAGGCAGCCAGCACTGCTAGCAGTAAGCGGAAGACTCGTCCATGTTTTATACATCTTATTGTTTCATCACTAATGTTCTTCTTGTTATAGGTGGTTAGTCATGTAAATTTTTCTCTCATTATTAGTGAAGACAATTTTTGATGAATCTTTCCCTATCGAAATTGTTTGCGAGACCGACTTTTGTAACTTTCCCAGCTAGCATCTTTCTAACACACAATGGGTTACATTTGACGGTGAATCTGCCAACAGATTCTATTAACAGCAAACGAGGAAAGAAGCTTTTTTGCTCTCTAACCCGCATCCGTTGTTTTATTTCGCAAGTGACCGGATATTCGTCCATACATTACTGCTATAAGGTGTTGCTAGTATCACCACTATTATCAATGCTACCACTGTCACCATTTTCACCGTGTTTCGTAGCAACCGTTCTTATGTTTTTACCAGCATTCCGCTCTCGATGAATCGATGACCGCTTTGCAATTCTAATTTTTTGTTCGTCTGCATACTCTCCAACATTATTCGAGTATCTTGACTTTCTCATATAGCTTAACCGTAATTTCATCATGTTACTGCATAGACATAAACTCGGAGTTACCTAGGAAGATGCACTAACCTCTTTAACACATTGACGACCGCCTGTGTTAAATAATGACTACCGCGTGGGAGCGGACACACCATGTGTGTCAAGGGTTGAATTTTGTTGAAATGATCAATATCCTGGGATAAACTCACTCCACGAGCTTGCTTTTGCACTAAACCTAGGGATGACCTCTACCTTTTTGTCAGCTTTTCGATCTACAATGCGTACTGCAGATTCGTCAGCTTTTCGATCTACTGTGCGTACTGCAGATGGCAGTATGCGTAATCATATTTGAAAATTGTGGGCTGGTCCGTAAAAGGCCTTGGTCCCACAAGGCAGACAACCAAAAATCCGTATGGTCGTCAGTGTGTTAAAGCACAGTAGGTGTAACACTTGGCTACTCTTTTTTTACATGATAAGTACTTGCAAATCATCTACGGACAAAAGACAAGATATTACTCTACGCCCACTTAGGTTCTGGTGTGCGAGAATGACTGAATTCGTTGCAAATAAGGGGTTTGTGCACTGAACAGCCGCTCCACCAGCTACTTATGCGATCTTCACACTGGAAATGTTCCAACTTCGTCGCGGATTGGGTCCCAGTTCAAATGCCGGTGATTGCGCTTTCCTGCATCAACGCATAGAGGCTTCGGTCATACTTCGCGCGATCTCGAATATTCCGCGATCTGGGATTGCAGTGATTGTTTACGATATCGCGTAAGCATCCTCCATGTAAGCGAGTAAAGATTCAGCTAAGCCGTGTGAGGATGCTCAGACCCGAGGAAATTCTGTGAAGCACCTCAAAAATTTTCTCAGAGTGCGTGGCTGATGCCATCCGTCCCACCTCCCCCTCCCCCTCTTCTCCCTTCCCAGACGGAAATACTGGAACCGCTACTGCTAGACGCTAACTTCAAAATAAAGTGGTGTAGATCTCTTGGTCTTTACGGTAACAAGGGTTACCCAAATTAAGGGTAATAAAATTTAGAGGCCTCTAACTAAGCCATCGTACAAGTCTCGCTGTAAGATGAAATTCGAAGCTAGAAAACCGTTCCTGAAAGTAGAAGCAGCACTTTGGCTCCGCCCATCAACGTGGGTGGCCAGAAGAAAAAAAATTAAAATTGGGCTTCAAAGTAGATAGAAACGTAAAAAATCTGTTGATCATAATGAAGCGTGATTTGTGGCAACTTTAAATACATTAATCGATTTTGGACTGTTTATCTTTAGACCACCCACGTTGGGGCGGATCCAATATGGAGCTTCTACCTTCTGGAGCGGTTTTCTCGCTTCGGAATCATCTTTTGCAGCGAGACTTGGGGGCGATGGCTTAGTTAGGTGCTTCTCCATTATATGACATCAAAATCTCATTAACCTTCAAGCCCATTGTTAAGAGCCAGTGCTGTAGATGTTGAGGTTATAAATCCACCATTGTTCACATTTCAGATACACCAACTGCAAACTGATGCAAGGAGCTGGTACGCTGGGATAGCATACAGGCTCTTCCCTTATATTCTGTCTCAGTCTACAACTGGCTATCTCTTCAAAAACGGATGACGGCCTCTGCTATCATCATAGAAGTGTCAGAACCAGCTTTAATTTCGAATACTGACTCCTAATTCGGAATTGTTAGCAACAGCTTTTCTATTTATCTTTGCTAGTGAGAAGAGCTAGGTGTCATTGCGAGGTTGAAATCACCCTAAATCTCGTGAAACAAAGCGTTCCATATCTTCTGCAGCGCATCTAATCGTTTTGAACGGTGTACATGTTGTTTATCATTTGTTTCATTATATCGAGGCTGGAATGAAGGCGTTTCCACAGTTTGTACATTGCTAATACATTGTGCTTTTTGTTCCGATCTATCGCACAACCGATTGATGACAAAGACTTCAAAGGACACTTAAGTAACCTCCCTCCTTGATTGTTTCGCTCACGATCGGAAATACACTTGAACAAAGTCGCATTATGAAAAATACGAGTTTTAAAATTACATGAAAGCAGGCGCAGCAACGTTTAAGTTGAGGATCGTTTTCGATTGTACAAAGCAGAAAAAATATCGTTTCTGCAGATATTGAAAAATTGCCAGAGAATCACCAATGAATTCTGAGTTTTCATAATTTGCACTAGCAACAATTCCTCCGTGCGGAACTCCACGCCCATAAAGCAACAGATTTGGCACTGCGGAGCAAGTCAGTATGTTGATCACGAACATAACAGTCTTTTCGAAATCACTTACTGATTTTATCAATTCTTCTCTAATCTGAGCTGAGGTTCTTGAAATTGGTATAGTGGGAGGGGGGGATGCAATTAAGATTCCTGCCACACAGACCACATCGACAAGCAAGAAAATTCTGGTCATAAAAACTCACTACATCTCCAACAGCACTCACTAATTTATTGGTTCACATAGGCATTCAGATTGACGCACTGCTTCCATTTTTCTCCCAGAGCGCAATGCACATGCAGCGGCACTTGATTTAATTCAAATTTTTTTCAATGATTTCCAAGGAGAGGAAAGCACTGGGGGGGGGGAGCACTTAACGACCATATAGAAGCGCGACAGGGGCATTAAAACGTTATTTAGAAATAAAAAATAACGGTCTCTACCATAGTGTACATTTTGATTTGTAAATTCGTATATTAGCTTGGCGCGCCAAGGCCTTCAGAGCCTTCTCACAGGACACTGAGTCACAGTACTCATCATCACTCGCAGTCCTAGCCCACACCCTGCTCCAGTCAATCCAAATTTGGCGTTCCTCGGAATTCGAGCCGCAAAACTCCCTAGAAAGAAACCTGTTCTTATACAATCATACACCCACAATCTTATATTCTTTTCTTTTCTTGAATAAGAACGAGTACTCCAGAGGACAGCACCACGACACTGTTACAAAATGTGCAATCCAGGCACACTTTCTAGGGAAGCCTCGTTAGGCCACCGACCCTCCCCCCCCATGAAAGCACACAAACTTCTTTCTCTTCTTGGCCTCTAGAACTTCAGAGTGTGACAGTCTGAAGAAATAATCTTTTTTAGAGAGTTTTCACATTTTTGAGAACTGTACGCCCGATCTTGTGTGACTACACTTTACAACTACACGTAATTTGACGGCTGATTTTGATCTGAATGGGCCTATTAGAAGGACCATAATTTTTCTAGGAGGTGGGGGGGGGGGGCGTTTGGCTCTAAAGACTGTGGCAAGAATAAGCTGTGAGCTCAATACTCATTCCAGAAATGAAGCGATTTCTGGATTTTGAAGGCAAGTTAAGGGGTCAACCCCTCAAAAGCTCAGGCAGCCTGACCATTTGAGGGGTTGCGCCTGACCCGATTAATTCTATCACCAAAGAATCTTTTCCATTTATGTTTCACTTGATCGCTAGCATAATCGAAGATTCTACAATAGGTGTTGGAGCTTACCCCAACTTGTTTTGGCTTTGTGGTGATAGGTCGCGCGTTTTTGTAGTTGCCATTGCCAAGCTGGGTTTGTACTCTACAAAAACAAAATTTTTACGCTCCGAAAATTTCGTAAATAAAATAAAAGGTGTAGAGGAAGATTAAGTAGTTAAAATTCGGAAAAACGGAAGATTTGAAATATTTCCGTTTTCTTATTTTGTCACAGTTGATCAACTCGCACCTTTCGACCGTCTCCAGAGTTAAAGCACCCGAGGTGGAAAGCGAGGTGACTAACAATCTGGCAGCACTTCTTAATCCAGTAGAAAGCAATATGAAGTCCTATTTCTACCATGAATTGATAAAGAGCATCGCTTCGCTACGAGTACAAAAAAGCTGAATATTTTCACTTTTGTGAACAAGTTAATAATGTTTGAAAACCACGCTTCTTCGAAGTTAGGAAATATTAGAAAATGTAATAGGTAATGGTTTGTAGAGCTCGTTGAGGTAATATGGCATGCTGCTTACTGAAATCTTACCCAATTTCCATAAAGAGCTTCTTTGGTGACCTAACAGTATGTGTAAGGAAAGATGAAGAATTGCAATTTGGCTGAAACTTCGTTAGCCGAGTTAATCAGCATGCTGATCAAATAGTCAGCCCCCTGGTGGCATTGTGATTACGGTTGAGCGCCTTTCTTCTTCACCTTACTCGCATTATTTCCTCAATTTTTTGAACAAATGCTTCTTGAAGAGGACCCCTTCCTTCTCTTAGCCCCATTAGGGCTCGGGTCGGGCACCCCTGACCCCTCAACCCTGGTCAGGGGTTCGAGTCCCCTAGGGGGGCTACGCTCTTTCGTGAATATCGTGCCATCGTACCTAAAAAGCGTCGGAGGACAGTCCTGCTATATGGTTTCTACATGTTTATTACATAAACCGCTTCTGCCATCGAGGCCTCGTTAGCTCAGTTGGTAGAGCATTAGACTTTTAATCTAAGGGTCAGGGGTTCGAGTCCCCTACGGGGCTAATAGTTTTGGCAGCCCAAACTATACGCTTTTTCATGAATATCGTGCCATCGTACCTAAAGGGCGCCGGAGGACATTCCTGCAATATGGTTTCGACATGTTTATTACATAAACCGCTTCTGCCATCGAGGCCTCGTTAGCTCAGTTGGTAGAGCATTAGACTTTTAATCTAAGGGTCAGGGGTTCGAGTCCCCTACGGGGCTAATAGTTTTGGCAGCCCAAACTATACGCTTTTTCATGAATATCGTGCCATCGTACCTAAAGGGCGCCGGAGGACATTCCTGCAATATGGTTTCGACATGTTTATTACATAAACCGCTTCTGCCATCGAGGCCTCGTTAGCTCAGTTGGTAGAGCATTAGACTTTTAATCTAAGGGTCAGGGGTTCGAGTCCCCTACGGGGCTAATAGTTTTGGCAGCCCAAACTATACGCTTTTTCATGAATATCGTGCCATCGTACCTAAAGGGCGCCGGAGGACATTCCTGCAATATGGTTTCGACATGTTTATTACATAAAACGCTGCTGCCATCGAGGCCTCGTTAGCTCAGTTGGTAGAGCATTAGACTTTTAATCTAAGGGTCAGGGGTTCGAGTCCCCTACGGGGCTAATAGTTCTGGCAGCCCAAACTATACGCTTTTTCATGAATATCGTGCCATCGTACCTAAAGGGCGCCGGAGGACATTCCTGCAATATGGTTTCGACATGTTTATTACATAAACCGCTTCTGCCATCGAGGCCTCGTTAGCTCAGTTGGTAGAGCATTAGACTTTTAATCTAAGGGTCAGGGGTTCGAGTCCCCTACGGGGCTAATAGTTTTGGCAGCCCAAACTATACGCTTTTTCATGAATATCGTGCCATCGTACCTAAAGGGCGCCGGAGGACATTCCTGCAATATGGTTTCGACATGTTTATTACATAAACCGCTTCTGCCATCGAGGCCTCGTTAGCTCAGTTGGTAGAGCATTAGACTTTTAATCTAAGGGTCAGGGGTTCGAGTCCCCTACGGGGCTAATAGTTTTGGCAGCCCAAACTATACGCTTTTTCATGAATATCGTGCCATCGTACCTAAAGGGCGCCGGAGGACATTCCTGCAATATGGTTTCGACATGTTTATTACATAAACCGCTTCTGCCATCGAGGCCTCGTTAGCTCAGTTGGTAGAGCATTAGACTTTTAATCTAAGGGTCAGGGGTTGGAGTCCCCTACGGGGCTAATAGTTTTGGCAGCCCAAACTATACGCTTTTTCATGAATATCGTGCCATCGTACCTAAAGGGCGCCGGAGGACATTCCTGCAATATGGTTTCGACATGTTTATTACATAAACCGCTTCTGCCATCGAGGCCTCGTTAGCTCAGTTGGTAGAGCATTAGACTTTTAATCTAAGGGTCAGGGGTTCGAGTCCCCTACGGGGCTAATAGTTTTGGCAGCCCAAACTATACGCTTTTTCATGAATATCGTGCCATCGTACCTAAAGGGCGCCGGAGGACATTCCTGCAATATGGTTTCGACATGTTTATTACATAAACCGCTTCTGCCATCGAGGCCTCGTTAGCTCAGTTGGTAGAGCATTAGACTTTTAATCTAAGGGTCAGGGGTTCGAGTCCCCTACGGGGCTAATAGTTTTGGCAGCCCAAACTATACGCTTTTTCATGAATATCGTGCCATCGTACCTAAAGGGCGCCGGAGGACATTCCTGCAATATGGTTTCGACATGTTTATTACATAAAACGCTGCTGCCATCGAGGCCTCGTTAGCTCAGTTGGTAGAGCATTAGACTTTTAATCTAAGGGTCAGGGGTTCGAGTCCCCTACGGGGCTAATAGTTCTGGCAGCCCAAACTATACGCTTTTTCATGAATATCGTGCCATCGTACCTAAAGGGCGCCGGAGGACATTCCTGCAATATGGTTTCGACATGTTTATTACATAAACCGCTTCTGCCATCGAGGCCTCGTTAGCTCAGTTGGTAGAGCATTAGACTTTTAATCTAAGGGTCAGGGGTTCGAGTCCCCTACGGGGCTAATAGTTTTGGCAGCCCAAACTATACGCTTTTTCATGAATATCGTGCCATCGTACCTAAAGGGCGCCGGAGGACATTCCTGCAATATGGTTTCGACATGTTTATTACATAAACCGCTTCTGCCATCGAGGCCTCGTTAGCTCAGTTGGTAGAGCATTAGACTTTTAATCTAAGGGTCAGGGGTTCGAGTCCCCTACGGGGCTAATAGTTTTGGCAGCCCAAACTATACGCTTTTTCATGAATATCGTGCCATCGTACCTAAAGGGCGCCGGAGGACATTCCTGCAATATGGTTTCGACATGTTTATTACATAAAACGCTGCTGCCATCGAGGCCTCGTTAGCTCAGTTGGTAGAGCATTAGACTTTTAATCTAAGGGTCAGGGGTTCGAGT